CAAATACTAAGGAACTAAGGTTTCTGTGATTCTGGGACTTCACATAGTGCAATCTAAAATGCCAGTTTTCTCAGACCTAGCCTGGGAATCTTTAAAACACTGCTGAATTCCAGAGCATATAAATTTGCTACCTTGTAAATACCACAAGATGCATCAGACAGATATTAATTGATTAATCATTTGAAATGCAAACGTTTATAATTTGACAATGGTTTCCTGCATTGTGTTGTTCTACACCACACTATTTGTGATATTTTAAATTTAAAATCACAACAAAGAGCTCTTCTAGCTTGGATAAAAATATTTCATTACAGCTGATAAAAAAGACTTTTTAGGTCTTTTGATACACTTATTCTTCCATTTTTCTGTCTAGAGGAGCTATCTGAACTGGTGAGTCAATGCATATGGGATGCCACGTAGGTACATCTGAACTGAGTCCAATAAGCTGTATTTGACTACACAAACCTTTCAGAAAGATGATCCATCCTGATTTGAAAGCATCAGAAAATAGAGAAACCACAACTATCTTTGCTAACTTCTTCCAGTGGATAACTAGCCTCATTACTAATAGTTTGGAATTTATTGCTAATTTTAATTTATCTGGTTTTAATTTTTATACTGTTTTTGTTGTATTTTTCCTTGCTGGTTGAAGGAACCATTTAGTTCCCCGTGTTTTCTCCCTTTGAAGCAACTTACTGACTATTCAAGCTACCTCTTAACTTTCTTTTATATTTTCTTTACATTTATATGCAAATATATAGGCTTATCTTCAAAAGAAGAATGCCAAAGAGAACTCTCCAGACTGCAAATCCTGAAATTCACTAATTCACTAACTGGCATTAATAAATTCTAAAGGCATTAAAAAAAAAAAAAAAGGAAAAAAAAAAGAGCAAGAACCATAACAATATTGAACAAGATCAAGAAAAGGCCAAGAATGAGCAAAAACTAGGTGGATAGGATTTTCTGAAATTATAAGCTTAGACTTGTGCCTAAACACAGATTAAGGAGATGGATTTTCAAAAAACACATCAATGCTGTAATGAGATGAACTTTTAACTCGTATGGGTGTTTCTGAAATTCCACACCCACACAAGATTAAGGCATCCATTTTTAAGATATTGACCTGAAGCAATGAAGAAATAGTATTGCTAAATAAGTAAACGCACAGTCTTCTACTGCCCCATATTCACGAGCTAGCTAAGATGTTCAGATCTATGAAAGAAATTGCTAACAATTTTCTGGAAAATCAGGGCATTAAGAACCCTGTACATCATATGAAAATGAAATACTTTATTCATGTTTCATGTAGAAAAAAATTAGACCAGTCAGAGATACCCTGGCTCTTTGTATTTGATTGAAGGAGATACCCTCAGCAATTCAGAAAGGCTGAAAACCTATGTAAACTTTGTCCTTCCTAGATCTGCTTAAGATGTTCAATTATTTTCCTCCCTGCTTTCTGAATATTCTATCCATTCTACTCTAATTTTCTATATGTACAGAAACTGAAGATCATACAGTTGCTGTTTTCCTGTAAAAAATTTCTAAGTTTAATACAAAAGCATAATATTCAACTATACATTTACAACCCTATAATAAAGCACATGATAAGACATTTACATGGGTTAGTCATGGCAAAACACACGGGTAGTTTTCATAGATTAACAAAAACATAATGAAAATATAATTTATATAGTCAAAATATCTGAAAGATACCAAAAGGTCTTTCATTTTAAAATCAGTAAGTGGTAATGTTGTAAATAAGGTAAAGAGCACTTCACAAATTACTGATACTTACTCATCTAATCTGAATTCTTCCTAATAATTTGATTTATAAATCAGTAATGTATATAATTTTCCTGGGCAATAAGCATCTACTTAGTAATATGAGTTTTAATAGTGCTTTGCTTTACAGACTGTGAGAAGCTTGGCAATAATAGGTGAAAACAAAACAAAAAAACAGAAAAAGATCCCTCAAGCCACATCTACTTTGTGGTCATAGAAGTGACTTCTGTGTAGTGTAGAGGTATTTTAAATTATATAGCCCGGGAAACTGTAACTATCCAGCTATTGCTGCTTGGCTTAATTTCGTCCACTCTTCACTATTACTTCCTTGACAGCAACGTAGACATGTAGCAGACACCTCTGTCCTGTTCCATCTTTTATTTTTTTTCTCCTCTCCTTTTACTCCCCCAAACTAGAAAGCTTGGGGTAAAGTCAGGCACCAAACTAAATGTAAGCTTAAAACACAACTTTTGGTGACACTTGGTGACCCCAAGATGAATGCTGGTTGATGCCCACTTGTTAGTAATGTCTAAATATTTCATAATTACACAACTTACATAGATAAGTAACAGCTGTTAGTATCTCTTCTTGAACACAAAATTTAGTTAAGGCCAGCAGGTGTTCCGCTGTAACTTCAATCACTGTCTGAAGACACTTCTGGGTGTCACTAGGAGTGTAGGTGTGATATTTAGCTGATGAATTCCACCCAAGAGTCTTAAAGTCTTGATTAAGAGAATGAATCAAACAGTCTGGGTGAATTCTTCTTTTCACTTTAAAATAGTTTAACTAGGAGTAGAGGATTTAATTCATGGGTGAAGCTGGAATCAGAATCTCTGTCTTGAGATGAAAATCAGTACAATTGAAGATGAGGAAGAAACAATGTCTCTGTGCTATATAAGTTTCTGAATCTTCTGAAAAAATAGCCTAAATTCTGAAAACTTTAGCAAATTGAAATCAGAAAAAAGAATTATAAATCTGATCAAAGAATACTTTACATCAATAACGTTAACTTTAATCCCTTTACATATACATTTTTCAACATTTCAAAATGAAAAGGGTATTTGAACTGAAAAATGAAACCACATTTAGAAATTTTGAAACAGGATATTTCAATAATGTAAAAACTTTTTTCCATAATATATTTCTAATGAGAATTTTCAAGACCAATCCTTTTTCGCAAACAGTGCTACTCTTATTGACTAATATTTCAAGTAAAACATTTAATTGAAAAATTCCTGATCAAGTCAAATGACAATATACACTATCTTCATGATAGACAGAAAATTATATCAAAACTCAACACTTGTTTGCTTAAACACTCACCAGAATTGCCTTGCTTGCTGTTGTTCTTTGGCTTTTATAAGCATTATTGCTCCTGTTGTTTATCACTAATAATATTGGAAACAAATAGACTTTACCTATTTGGTGGAAGACAGAAAACTTGAATCTTTGGAATTTACTTCTCTGCAATGGGAATAGTTAAACTACAAATCAGATTATTTTTGCTGGTATATTATTGACTGTTTTCATAGAATTATGCTTACACATCTTGAGTATATCTGCAGCAGCTAGAAACTCCAAAACATACAAGGGAATCTTGATTCCCTTATTTTTATTTATGCAGGAATAAGAGAGAGAGTCATTTAAGAAACCTGCAATATAAGAAATCTTCAAGTTAATTCATGAATGGGGGACTCCACAATTGCTGTTTTCCGTAATAAGCATATGCTTCTAGGGATGACTTTGCCTTAGGTTTCTACACAGTTTCTCTACCTAATTTGCTGTATGGCTAACCCATGTCTGTCTCATGTATATTCTTTCCAGCTTCTATGCAAAGGACTAATACCTTCCCCCTATCAACTTTTTGTACTTTTTTTGCTTCACCTAATTTCTATTCGTAACCAACTTCAGACACGATTATCATAAATAAGGGGATTTCTCGCTTATGGACAGCAAGCAGAAGCATGTTTTCTCCAGTTTGTTGTTCCTATTTATAGGTTGTTACCTACTTGTATTTAAAAGTCACTTTTCTGTTTTACCTTAAATTACCTTCTGCTTAAAGAATCCCAATCCTTAAAATGCAGTAAGAATCTTCAAATAACAGTGGGTATTCTGTAGGGGTTTTTCCAGGCTCTGCTACTTTGCGGGCAATGGTTATAATGTTACAGGAGGACAGCAAGACTCTTTTATTTCTTCCTCAAGTTTTACTTATTAAATATTATATATATATATATGTATGTATGTTGGACACATTCTTCATACAAATATAGGGGAACATGAGCAGGCTGCATAATATATTTTACGAGTGAGATATTCACTGTTTAAAAGAAAGCTTTCAATAGAATTGAAAGCCAAAGATTTAATGGCAAATGTGTAACTTCACTGAGACATATTGTTGTATTTTAGTTCAATGAATAATGACTAATAAAACCATCATTTTACGGAATTGATATTTTCAATATATTCTGAAATAAAAATATACATTTTAATAATTTTTGTTTTGAAGCTCAAAATTTAGGAAATATTAGGTTAAAACCATAAAAATAATGAACCAGTTATGCCATTAATCATAAAACAAAGAATTTGAAGCTATTCCTTTTCATGTGCAAAATATTGTTTCCATTTCAATGTATGGCATAAGCTGAAGCTTCTATAAAAATATTTATAGTAAAATACAGCATAAATCTATAATTACATTTAATCAGTTTTAGAAAGATGCATCCAATACTTAGACACTGTAAAATTATTTAGAATAAGTCAATTTTACTTCAGTTACTGCTGAAGTAACAAAAATGATGTAATAGTCTTTTGTAAGCTGAATAGCATATTTGTTCTTATCTACACAAAGCCCTGTAAATAACCTACAGGTTGTTAGCCATTACTTAATTCAGCATCCAAAATGCACACTTTAGCTCCTCCATATTAAAGCATGATGAACAGAGTGCTTTAAATAACCATTAAGAACCAGATGCATTTTAAGCAATGTAAGGAAGAGTTACAGAAAATAATTATGACTTCCCATGTAAATACCTTCTTAGAATTCCCTCCACTGAATGTGCAAACCCCTGTGAAGGAACTGAAAAGTCTTTAGTGGATTGTCTTGGAACAGATCAGCAAAGCAGAAGTCAGTATCTAAGATAAGGTGCTCCCTGGGCCATGGGCATAGTAAAGCATCATGCAAGGTATGAAGTCACACTATCATTTTCATCTTTCTGCTTTCAGTTGGCAGTCACGTTGGCTTCCTTCTGACGTAGTCTTTCTTTCTGTTAAAGAAAGAGAGTTCTATTGTCATTTTTGTCTATAATTTTCCATTTCCTTTCAAGTTGCAGTGATCATTTGGTCTAGAAGACTCAGAAGTACTAAACAAGCCGCAGTAGATTAGAGTTTTCTTTAATTAAAAAAAAAATTAACACCTAGAGCACTCAAGGAAGGCTCAGAACCAGTTCATTATTTACTGTAGAAAAACTGAACTTGCTTTAGGTACACACTCTTCAAATACCGTGTAGCTTTAAAAACACGCAGCTCTGTGAAGACCAGTGCAGCTAGAGAAAACGAGATACATTTCAAATTCACGTAAATCTAATACCTTCTCTTGTCTGGAGTGGTTTCTGCTGACATAAAGGCTCTAATTTAGCATTAGCTAGATTCTGCTGTTTAATGACCTCTTCCCACGCAAGCATAGTCATTCATACCTCTGCCGCCTGTCCTGCAACTGATATGGTCTGCTGGGAATGGAAATAATATACTGATTCCTTCATGTACATTCCCTTCCTTAGTCTCTTGCTTCCTACAGTTTGAGAAATGCTGATCTAACCTACGTGTCTTGTACATAGACAAAAAAGCTTTTATCTACAGTGCAAATTATTAATCCTCTTTTTGTGTTGTATTAAAAAACTGGGAAACAGCAAGGAAAAAAATGGGCATTTAATCCCTTCTACCACTATTCAACAGAACAGACAAGATTTTGTAAGGTTTGGAAAAAACCCAGATGCTCAGCTGTTGGACAAACATACGCAGTGATCCTCAATGCACTACGGAGCATGGAAGAAAATACAAGAGACTTCAGTTAAAGCAGGGAAGAAAACAGAAAAGCAGCTCTTATCATATTTTGTTATCTAAAACAGCAGAGCCATGCTTAGGTGCAACTAAACTCAGTTTTAAAATTAACTGTTGGACTATCATAGTGCATAAGCTTAAAATTTCTCCTCGGGAAGAAAATCACTCCTACATTCAAACTAAGCATACTATGTCACCCTTCAACAACAGCAGAAACCTGCCATCAATTTGAATGACAAAAGTAGTGTCACAAAAACCTTTCGGAATGTCATACTGAGAAACACATCATACCAGGCTGGCTGTAGGATTGATTTTCTTCGTTTCAACTTTCTTCTCTGCAGTTAACTTGCTTACTGATTGCTGAGCCACTTTAATTCTGAAACAAAACACATAGAAAAGACATTGATAGAGTCAAAGAAATTAAAAGTGTTCTGGCTCTTGTTGGTATATACTCTTTATCTGTAAGAACCACCACCACTAACTGTTTTTAGGCATATTAGCCCAAACTATTATTATTCAAAGGCACTTAACAAAGTACCAAAAGTAGATCAAAGTACATTTTTAAACAGAGAAAATCAAAAGCAAAAGGACAGTCTGCCTGTATTGCTCACTGAATATGTCAGCAGGCAAATGATGTCTCTGTTCTTGCAAGATCTGGGTTTTATGAAGTACCTGGGCTTTATGGAGCATCTTTCCCACCAAAAAAGCTGCAGTGTCAAGGCAAGAAGATACTCCTCTGAAAAAACCCAGTAGCTGGCTCAATCTGTTGTACATATAGAATATACTATTTTAGTAGGCCATTTGCCAGGCTACACATTGTATTTCCTCTGAAAACCTTGAAATAAAAGCATCTGCCAGTTTCTCCTTAAAATTTTCCCCGTTGCTTTACATGAATTGACTGACCAGCCTCACTGATGCGGTAATAGAAGGAGAGGCAAGTTAGAAGGGGCTCTTGTCTCGGGGTAGTTAAACCTGTCTTGTGTGCAGCTACAGACCAGTCTACTGAAAGCGCTACTTTCAGGGGAAAGAAGAACACAGATCTGATTCCTCTGTTTCTTGCTTTTTGCTCTTAGGGTCTTGCATACAGGACCCTTGTCTCTCTGAATCTGCCCAGCTATCAGTGCCTTTAAAATGCTGATGCTGTGAACATCTACTTTACAATTCTATATGCAAAATGCAGAGAGAAAGAGGTTTTGAGTGAATTTTAATAAGCAAGGAGAACTCAGCAAACCAATTTTCACTAATGCTCACCAAATCAGTCTTTTACTAGAAACAACACATTTCTTGGCACTCTTGAACTGAAAAATTGTACTTTCTTCTCCTATTTAATTTTTTCCACTGGCAGAAATAATTGCTATGGCCAGTCAAAAAGTATTTAAAATACCACGTCCAGTTCAAACCACTTTCGACACACTCAATTTTTGAGGAATTTTGGAAGAAAAGCAAAAAGGAAAGTGGATTATAGCTGCAATTACTGATGTGTACTTCCTTGCTGTAACACTAGCAGCAAACTAGATTTTTTAAAAAAATATAAAACACGTTCATAAGTTTATTATTAAGTTTATCAATGCTCAGTGCTGGAAACTAAAATTACTTCTCTAAGCAATGTATTTTAGAAGCATCTACTGGGTAGTTCTTGGTGCTGTCTTACTTTCCAGTGCTCAAGAACAGGAGGAAACAGTTACACTACTTTCAAGTAAACTTATTTTCAACACTGTTTAGCTACAACATTGATTCAAGCTGTAAGTACACCCTCATACATAAATATGAAATTATTATTCTGTATGTTTTTAAATTTATCTGAAGTCTTTTTAAAACTTAATTAGTGTTCTGTGTTTCTACAGGTAAACAACTAAGCGGCAACATACCATCCCATCTTTTTACAATTTTGTTAATCAGCACAGTTTACTTCTTAATGATGGACAATAGCACCCACTGGACAGCATGCTATTACTCAAAACTACAAAGTTTATGTGAAGATGATGTATTTCAAGTGACAGTATTCGGGTTCAATCACACCAAGAGATCAAGTTATAAACTATTCCCTGTTTTGAGCGCATTTTCTTTTTGCCCATGTTCTCTTTGGTCCTAGGAGTCTTTTCAGAATAGTTTTTAACCACTTAGTGTCTGTATTTTCATCTGAAGAGAGAATTATTGCGATTATAAACTTCTAGACTTAAAAACAAAACTATGGCTCTCACTGACTGAGGCTCTGTGTATTTTATTCCATATTTGCACAATTTCCATGAAACCTGGATTTTTTAAAATAGAATGCATAGTTTGGAATACAGAATAAAAATAAACCATTGCTAACATGATTTGAATCATATGATATATGGCACATAAAAATGACAGACTAGTTATGTATTACACTTTGGCCTCCTAGGAAAAAAAGCCATCACTTTGCTAACATATGACTGATAAGATTACCAGGCATTATCAGAAACCTACGTGCATAATTTAAAAGGAATGTAACTCTTTGGGATTTTTTAAAAGCAGATGGCTCAATTTTGAGAAAGTAGTTACATCAGTGAAGCACCCATGTTGTAAAGGTGCCTTATAAATAAAAATAATTCTTTGTTAAACATGGACAGGATACCACAACTGGCTATTCTGTTTGGAAGCACTATCCTTGAAATAAGGAAGATGAAATAGTATAAAAACTATCAAATTCAACATCATAAAATTGGCTAACAGCAGAAGTCTAATCGTCATTTTTTTCCATTATTTTACTTTCATTAAAAAGCCCTAGATATGAACACATGATTTTAATCGTTAGCTATGACAGCCTTCCATCAAAACTTACAAACACACACAATATTCTTTACCCGCGTGCAGCTCTGGAGTCCCCAGCACAGTAAAGACATGGACCTGATGGAGCAGGACCAGAGGAAGGCCACAAAGATGATCAGGGACTGGAGCACCTCCCCTGTGAGGACAGGCTGAGAGAGCTGGGGTTATTCAGCCTGGAAAAGGGAAGGCTCCGGAGAGACCTTCTAGCAGCCTTCCAGTGCTTAAAGGGGGCCTGCAGGAAAGGAGGGGGCAATCTTTTTAGCAGGGACTGTTGTGATAAGGAGTAATGGTTTTAAACTAAAAGAGAGCGGATTTAAACTAGATACAAGGAAGAAATTTTTTACAATGAGGATGGTGAAACACTGGTGCAGACTGCCCAGAGAGGTGGTAGAAGCCCCATCCCCAGAAACATTCAAGCTCAGGTTGGACGGAGCTCTGAGCAACCTGATCTAGCTGAAGATGTCCCTGCTTACTGCAGGGGGTTTAGACTAGATGGCCTTTAGAGGTCCCTTCAAGCCCAAACTATTCTATGATCTAAAGCTGAATGTATGCCCAACACTTGACTAAGTCTGTTACTGAAACAGATAAGTAAAACCAAACAAATCATATACTTAAAGAATGATTAGTAACTAGACAAACTCAGTTAATTCAACTTAGGTATTCCTCTTCTCTGTTCAATCTATCTTTTTTCTAACACTTTTCCTTAGCACAAATAGAAATAATTTCCTATTTGCATAAATCATATAATAGCATAACTTTGTTTGAAAAGCTTTTCATTAAAATGCCAAAAATTGGAAGTATATTAAAGTTAGAAGTAAAATTAGAGATGAAAAAGGTACAGAACGAACAAAATTACATATGAAGTACATTCAAAAGGATAGAACTAAACAATTATCTTCTGATCTTTTCTTAGACCTATGTATTATGCTATTAACCAATATGCAGATACACTACACAACATACTATTATTTTTAGTTAACTTAAAATAAACTATTGAATGTATTATAAAGGTAAGACATTAATTTTAATTTATGAGAATTTATATAGATGTAAATTGTTTAAATCCTTCTTATAAAAGTATAAACTTCCATGACTACTTTTAATTGTTCAGCAATGACTTGTTCAAAGTCTGTTTGAAGTAAAACAAAAGCAAAGTGATAGAATGTCAAAATACAAGGGAAATAATTATTCTGTTAAATTTCCCTTCTTCCTTGTGAGTAATTGCATTTATATTAGATGATAATGAAGGTGGCCAATTTTAAAATTTATACTTTATAGAAACCAGGTGGAATAGAAAAGAAGTTGAGGGAATATGTGAAATCCACTTAAGTCTTGTGTTCAGTATAAGGGCCAACAAAACATCTAAAGAGGACTTTGAAATACTTTACTAAAACATTTACTGTAGATTTACTAGAATTAGTGTCTTAGTGACACTGGCACTGCTTAGGGGGTGAGATTTACAAAGTATTGTCTCAAACCATTTACTCACTTCATCTTGTTACTTAAGCTCATTCATTACTTAAGTGTTTACACCTCCAGGGATCGTGGCTCAACCACTTCCCTGGGCAGCCTGTTCCAGTGCTTGACAACCCTTTTGGTGAAGACATTTTTCCTAATGTCCAATCTAAACCTCTCCTGGCGCAACTTAAGGCCACTTCCTCTTGTCCTGTCACTTGTTACTTGGGAGAAGAGATCGAAGCCCACCTCACTACAAAGTCCTTTCAGGTACTTGTAGAGAGCAGTAAGATCTCCCCTGAGCCTTCTTTTCTCGAGGTTAAACAATCGCAGTTCTCAGCTGGAAAGATAATTGGGACTGGTAAATTCTTCAGCTTAGGGAAGTTCAATTAATGTGTATCTCCTTATCTTGGAAGAAACAGTAGAAAAACAAGCCCTGAGATAGAGCTCCACAATTTACAACTTATAGGTGTAGGCTGAACAACATGAACTAGGCACCCCACCAACCAGTCTATACCCTGTCTGAGTTTTTGTCGTGTGAATTAATGTGCAGGGGAGCAGCTCACACGAACTGGACATTTACAGAGGCATGACCATGAGGGGGAGTTTGGAGATGTGCAAAGGAATGGACTTCATAAAAAGATTTTTTTTTTTTAATTCCTCTATCAGTACAAAATAGCATAGATGGACACGCTAGTCTAGCTGTGTTTTAGATATTTCATGGATGAGAAACTGGGACTGAATCTAATAGATGTGAAATCAAGGAGGAAGAAATGGGAATAGAAAAGTCAACAGAAGTATATCTAAAACAGCAAAGCAAGAAGGGATAGAAGTGTGCAGTAAAACACACTAGAAAAATATTGACAAGGACACTTTTGAACAGAGAGCACTGCAGAAGACAAAGACCAGAAAGGACGGTAGAATAGCTGAATCACAACACAGAGACAAAAGGTGTGCAGGTGCTAATTTAGCAAGCAATAACACGAGGACAAAAGATGACAGAACGCAGGTCGGTTAAGCCTTGAAATCTGACCAGCTGCAACATGGATGTGTTCAAAGGAAAAGTTACTGTCCTTCAGCAGCAAGCAAAAGAGGTCAATACACCTTAGTAAATAAAGAAGATGTGTT